ACGATGTGAGCTTCTCTGTAGACAAACTCAGATGATGGACAGTAAAATACACTGCAATTATTGTGGTGTGATTCAACACCTATATGTCACAGAGTGAACTGACAACCCATTTACATTACCACGTCCAACACACAACAATGGGCGACTTGTAGGAGAGAAAGTACGGCCTTCTGAAATGAACCATTACTGAGACTTATGGGCCTGGACTGTGCGGTCCATTTCCTGGGTTCCTGTCTGTCACTCATCTCACATGATTGTGTGGACATGGTGGTGACTTTGTAAGAGGCTATATATATTTATATATATGTGTTGAGGACAATTTTGAGCTATTGTTTTGAAATGATTTGGACATGGCCTTAAAAGAGCTTCACATTAATTAGTGCAGTGTTTCCCAGGTTTTTAAGCCATGGCAAATATCCTACGTTCAAAAAATTCCACAATGCACCGATAAACAAAACATCTGACATGAAGTATTTATATTAAAATATTATGATCTTCCGGTTTCAATTTACTCACAATTTCCTCAGTGTGTAACCTTGGTCTTTTTAAATGAACACAACTCGGATATACTCACAGGAATTGAAGAAAGACACACAGAGTATTAAAGTGTTCTGCCTATCACTGTCACACTGACAAATAAAAGAATATTTGCAGTAACTAAACCATAGTTTTCAGACCAATTAAGCAAAATAGTATAATCTTCTGATCTCTCGCGGCCACTAATGTGCCATGGCACAGTGGTTAGAAATCACTGGATTAGAAGATCCTGTGTCGTTTGTGACGTATCAGGCAGAAAAGGCTGCAGAAGAAAATCAAGTTCTTAAAAAATACCATAGAACACAATGGAAAAAAATAGCCATAAAGAGGAAAAAATATGGTACAACAGTGACATCACACAGAAATTGATCTGTCGCCAAAAATGTTGAAAGAAAGTTAGTAACTAAATGGTATTTCCAGCAGTTACTAATGATTCCCTACATTTGTCAAAAACCTTTTTTTTGCCTAGATAACTGATGTTTGTCCTCTGCTGGAACCTGGTTTGTCAGAGT